CACGTTTATAGCAGTTTTATCCAGAATGAAAATGTGGAAGTAACCAAGTGGGACTACGGAAAGTGAATGGATAAACTGTAGTAAATCTGTACAATGGAATATTACTGAGTGTTAAAAAGAAATGAGCTATCAAGCCATGAAAAAACATCGAGGAAACTTAAATTCATATTATTACGTGAAAGGAGCCAATCTTACAAGCCTGTATACTGTATGATTCCAACTATATGACATTTTGGAAAAGGCAGAACTATGGAGATGGTAAAAAAAAAACCCAGTGGTTTACAAGGGTTAGAGAGGGAGGGATGAGTAGGCTGAGGACACAGAATTTTTAGGGCAGTGAAACTACTGTATGTGATGCTATCGAGGTAGATACATGTCATACACTTGTCTGGGCTCATAGAATGTGCGACACCATGTGTGAATTTTAATGTAAACTACGGACTTTGAGTGACAATGGTGTGTTGATGCAGGTTCATCAATTTTAACGAATGTACCACTCTGGTCAGGGAGACTGATGGGGCGGGGAGGCTGTGCATGCAGGGGCAGGGGCTACATGGGAACTCTAATTTCTGCTCAATTTTGCTGTGAACCTAACACACAAATATTTTTATTTATTATTTATCATTTTAACTTATTTATTTATATTTCATTTCTTTTAAAAAAAGTCTACTTTAAAAAAGCAGAGAAAAAACAGATTGCCTACAAAGCAGAAATCGATTAATATCTGATTTCACATTAACAGTAATGGAAGCCAGAGACAGTGGAATGACATCTTCAGTATTTGAGAGAAAGTAATGATCAACCCAGAATTCTAAGTCCAGTGGAAACACTGGCCAAAAATAAGGACTAAATAAAAAAACTAGGATTGTTTGCCAGTGGGTGGCTTTCACTGAAGCCAATTCAAAAGGGTATACTTCAGGCAGAATGAAAGTGATTTGAGATGGAAAGCCTAAAGGTTAAAAAAAATCAGAAAAAGTGGTAAAAATTGTTTGCAAAAATGGCCATGGCCACACTTACTAACTCTCCTAGTCTCTGTGCCCCTTTGCAATGTGATTTTGTCAGGAGATGAACTCTATAGCCCTACTCTTTGGCCTTGACCCAGTTTGGCCTTGACCCAATTCATGCCCAAACCAATGGGATGTGGCAGAAATGATGCTGTGCCAGTTGTGAACTTCCATTCATTATTACCTTGGTCTCCCCCTAAACTGTCATGGTCACAAGCCCAGGTTAGCCAGCTGGAGGATGAAAAATCACATAGAGGAACTAACAGCTGTAGGCCATCACAGATCTGTTCAGCTCTCAGGTGACCTGCTATCTGACTGACTATAGACTCATGTGTGAGCTCAGCTGACATTAATGTAAACTGCCCTAGACCAGAAAAACTATGCAGCCTACCCACGGTCTCATGAGAAATAATACACGGTTACTTCTTCAAGCCACTAAATTTTGAGGTGATTTGTCATTCAGTTAGGAGCATCAAGAGTTAGCAATAGATAATAATGGTATAAATCAATAATATCTGTGGATTAAAAAATAAGATAGAAATAAAATATACAATAATTGTTAGCATATGACTAGAATCGAAGAGTCTAAAGTTTAAAGAAAAGACATTTATTTTTCTCATATAATAAGAACTCCAGGGGTAAGCATTTTAGGGTTGGTACAGTTGCTCAAGGAATTCGTCAAGGACTTTCTCCATTTTTCTCAATAATATTTCTAGTTATGGACATCATTATCCTTAAGTTAACAAGATAGCTGCTGTGTCTCCAAGAATTGCAGTTGTGTCCCAGGTGGAAAGAAGGTGAGAAGGAGATGAGTCTCTCTTCTTTATGGGGAAAAGGATATCTTTCCAATAAGCTCAACCTGATAGATTTCTCTGTATGTTTCACTAACCAGAACTTGGTCACATAGTCATATCTAGGTGCCTGAAGCCTGGGAAATTGAGATTTTTAGAGAGGTGAACTGCTTTCCAAAGGAAATGAAAATTCTGTTATAAAATGAATGTAGGAATAGACATAGGTTAGGCCCCGGCAGTCAGTCTCTGCCCTCTGTTTGGAAGAAAACATTTTACTTAATGGAATATTCCAAAAGGAGAAGGAAGCAATGTAGTCGGCATAAAGACTGAGAAGTAGTATTGGGCAGGGAGCAAGGCACTGGCGTGAGGGCCTCCTAATCCTGGCTCTGCAGCTGATGAGCTGGGGACTGGTTCTCAGTTTCTTCCCCTTAAAATCAAGATGTTGGAGTAAATACCTGTAAGCCTTTTGCAGAGACTGTAAAGGGAATTAACATTTATGATAGAGTCTTCATGTGCAATAGCTGATTTAGTTCTTACAACAAAATGTGAGTCATTATCCCACTTTACACCAGGGGACGAGACATTTCAGAAAGATGGAGTAGTGCGTGCAGATCCCAGGTCTAGTAAATGGCAGAGTTCCAAGTGGGGTCGGCAGGCCTCCAAAGCCAGAAGCTTCTTCCATTCCCCACCCTCTCTCACAAGGAGAGAACTTTAGTTAGTGAACTTTAAAGTCACTCTTTCTAAACTGTGCTTTCGAAGTGTGGCCTGGTGACACCTGCAGCAGAATCATCTGGGGACTTTATTACAAAAGCAGACTCCTGGACCTGCTTCAGATGAACTGAAGCAGACTCTCCAGGGCTGGCTCCCAGATGTCCACATTTTTAAAAGCTCCCCAGGTAATTTGAAGACATTTAATAGTTTGAGGATCATGATTTTAAACTTATAATTTATTGTTCCATTTTAACATAGTTTATTTATGGATCTGTGGCTCATGGAAATTTCCTAATATCAGGAAAATGAAATTTAAAAATAGTTCATTTCTTTTTCCTGTTCCTCAGTTCCCTAACAAACACACTCAATTCCATGGAAACTGTTAAGGAACTGAAAGTGTGTCATAGGAGATATCCTAACACTGAGGAACTGAGGCTCTGTAAGGAAATGGCACAGATTACCATGAACATGAATGCTGATTAAAATCATACAGAGCTGGACGGAGATGGGCAAAGGAAATGACATTAAGTAAATATTTGCTATGTTCCAGATACTGTTCCAGACGCATTACATCACTTAAGTGTCCCAAGACATGTGATTCAATTTTTTTATTTATAAATGGGGTAGGTACTATTATACTTTCATTTTAGAGATGAAGAACCTAATGATGACAGAAACACAGTCACTTGCCGGAGCTGAATCACATTCATTCATACAACAAATATCTGTTATGCATGGTACTGAGAACAGAACAGTGGAAAAGCAGTCTAGAGACTTCAGCTGTCACCAGGCCCTGACTTGCTCACCAAGTCTCCACTGAAGAAACTGGATATGAGACAGCAGGTTGGGACTGGAGCCTTCCAGAAGGGGTCTCTCCAGGCACGGTCTGCCTGCTGGCAGGGAGCAAGAGGAGAGCTTGCTGCTGGTGGTCTCCAGCAGCCCCAGAGAGGGGGTGGTTCTTGTTTTGAGCAGTAGCTGTATGCCTTGTTAGGTCGTTCAGTGCATTCTAGGCCCTTACCAGTCCAGAAGAGAGGAGCAAGTCAGGAGTCTGGAGGAACCCCCATACCTTACATTCTTTCACTAAACTTGGGTGGTAGATATTATTTCCATTTTATAGATGAAGAAATGGAAGCTCAGAAAAGTTCACGGACTTGCTCAAGTATGTGTCCTAGCCAGGAAGGGAATAGGGCAGGTGGCAGATCCAGCTCCAACACCTCCAACCCTGCCCCTCTGCAGTTCACGGGGGAAGTCTTCAGCGGCAGGTAGAAGTAGTTTACAAACAAGTACTGGAGGCTGGTTCTGATTCCTGCTACCAACATTTCTTTCATTCCGTCTTCAAATCGCACAGAAAATAAAGTTTTCTCCTTAAAAGGTTCTGTGGGGAAAAAAAAAATGTTCTCTGAGCGACGTTACAGCCTCCTAGGCTGTGTTTGTGTCTGAAGAGAGGACTAGTCTGACAGGCGGAATTACAAATCTGGAGCTCATTTTGGCGTCCCAGAGGGAAGGTGGGTGGAGCGTCTCACAGTCTCACAGTAAATTAGAAATTCAGAATGGAAACGTAGTCGAGTTTATTTGGGTTTCTAGTGACACCTCAGAATTATTGTGCAGGCTTGTCAGAGGCAGCTCAAAGTAATGACTGCTTCCCTTCCGCCCCAGGGTGCTGCGTTCTAAGAAGGGGAGTCCTCCTATTCTGGAGGTGGAGGTGGGGACCTTCCCTGTCCCACCTGAATCTTAAAGGGATTAGAGGGCCGGAGTGCGGTTTGAAGTCCTGTTCTGGGTCTGCTCCGAGTTACCGAGCGAGGCGGGAGGCCATTCAGGGATGTGTCTGATCTCAGGATCTGAAGCCTGAGGCTGGTATCTGAGGCCAAGTTTTGGAAAATTGCTGGGCCTGGAATTTGGCGGGGGGTGGTGCCTAGGTTGGGAGTACTCGCTGACGGAGGAAGGAAACAGGAGACTGAGTTGTATATGAAGGGCACTGAGGAAGGATCTTGGCAGAGACGTAGAAAGTTGAGGCATGGATCCGGGGAGAGGAAGCTGAAGCCTGCCTGATACTGCGGATCTGGGTGAATGTGTCGGGGTTGTGTCTGGATCAGATCTTAAGTACCTAGAGGAGGCAAGAAGAAAAGAGCGTCCAGTGGTCACAGCCTTTTTTCGAACGCGACTCACACCGGGACACATCCATCCATCAGCCCTGGCCCTCTGGGACTATTGGGACGACAACGCCCGGGCTAGTTTAGACTCTGGCCCTATACAATCTCCAGCAATCCCGAAGCTGCTCCGGCTGGGGCAGGGGTCTGGCTGCAAGAACTCTGGGGAGTCTGTGGGCGTGGCCAGCGGCCAGGCGCCAGCGGCTCTGGATTGGCTTCCCAGCAGACCCGCAGGCGGGGCTCCGGGCTGTGTCTCACTCAGCGGCTCACACTCGGCCAGGAGGCGGGGCCGGCGGGAGCAAGACAGCCAATGGACGCGCGCCCCCGAGCAGTTACAAAGGGCCGGAGCGAGGCCGCCGCGGCGGCGGGGGAGGTGGGGCGAGGCGAGGCTTGCTAAGGCGAGGCGGCAGCCGGGCCGGGCCACAGGCGGTGGCGGCGGGACCATGGACGCGGCTGCCGCTGCTCCGCGTCCCGGACTGTTCCCCCTCGTGCTGGCGGCGGCGGTGACGCTGGTCCCGGGGGCAACGGGTGAGCGTCGGGGCCGGCAGGCGGCTGCGGGGCGCGCGGGAGGCTGCGGGGCGCGCGGGCTGGGCCCGGCCTCTGGCTCACTCCTCTTTCTCAAACATGGCGCGGGGCCGGGGGCGCAGGTGGCGGCGCCCGGTCCGGGGCCGGTCTTTTCTGACTGGGCTGTCGCCACGCGATCGGCGGGCAGGGAGGGAGGGCGGGGCGGGGGCGTGTGTCCCAGCGCGGGTGGACGTGCCCGTGCCCGGCACTAGGCTGCCGACCCCGCAGTCGACTCCGCGGGGAAGGCGTCACCGGAGCAGTCCGTGATCGGTGGCTGCCCTTTGGGGAGGGAGTGAGTGAGGGCTGAGGCTGGCCGGGACTGGCCTCAGCCAGAGCGCTGCGTGGCGGTGTTCCGGGCATCCCACCCACAGTGGGTTGGTGCGCGATGCTCCCGGGGCCCGGGGCAGAGGAGGCTTCCCGCGCAGGGTGTGAGCTTTGAGACTCCAGGGCTTCCCCGGGGGGTGGAGGGGGTGATGTGTGGTTGAGACCCCTGGGTCAGCAGGGCCGACCCCGCCGAGACGGACTGCTTCTCCAGCCAGCGGTAGCTTTGGAAGAGGAGCTGAGAAGCTTTGTGTGGGGAGCAGGAGGTACGAAGACGAGCGGAATGTTTCTCTCGTGCGTCTGGGAAGTGTTGAAGTGAATCCAGTAACCAGAAGGCTACAGATTGTTTTCGTAGTGGAAACTTGAACTTTTGTTCACTCTACGGGGTTTGGAATGTTTGAATGGGAATGGCTGTGTAAGTTGATGAAATGCTTTTATTTCCTAGAAGGAACATCGCTAGTGAAGTTCTTTATCTTGAGTGACAGTTTGAATCCGTCGTCTGTGTAGCTGGTTTTCAAGGGAGAATGTTTGCTTTTTTGCCAAAATATTAAATCAGAACTGAGGTACTTGGTCACTGCATACCACCGAGGAGTGAAAAACTTTGTTATCATCCAAACTAAAATACTAAACACTAAACCAAGAAGCCCTAGTGTTAGCAACTAAAATATAGCAAAAGTACATTTCTGTTTCTGAAATTAAATACTAGATGTTTTCAAAAACAAAAACTCAGGCCTGAGGGTGCCAATTAGTACTAAGAGCTACACTTGACTAAGAACTTACTATGATGTACAGGTATAAAAAGTATACTAAAGTACATTATCTGATCCTCATAACCAAATCCTCAGGGCCGGTAGCATTTGCCCCATTTCATACATGAAGAAACTGAGGTGTGGAGAGGGTTTTTTTTTTTTTTTTTTCACTTAATTACTAAGAGCTGGAGTTAGGATTTGCACCCAGGGCTGTGTTTCCAAAGCCTTTACACCTTTAATATTACACCTAACTGTCTGGCTTAGCCTATTTGGCTTTTTCTGTCCTCTCGTGAGCAATTGATCTTTATTATTCACTTTTAGATCTTGCCCTCAGTTTGAAAATCAGATTGGCTTTCTGACTTCTAGTACTTTCCTGGAGTCCCCTCACCTTGGGTGTATATTAGGGACAACAGTAGATCTTTGACATTGGTCTAAGGAGGAGGGAGGACAGGATAGATGTGAGGACAGATGGGAGAATCGATGCAGTTCTGCCTCAAGCAAAAATTACATTTTCACACCACTATTAACTCGAGTAACAGTTCCTTCTTTTCCACCAAGCCTGCCACACAAAGTTTCCATGGATTTAAATAACAGTATTGGAGTAATTGATGTACAGAATGTTGCTCAGTCCAGGCTTTGGAGGAGCTTACGGACTTTGCATCCCATGCATGGGATGCAAAGCTGATTCGGGTGCTAGTACACTTAAGTATAGACAACCTCAACTGGTTTGCTTGCCCTTGATGGTTATGTTGATGTTCCAGGCCATCCTTTCATATGTTCTGAAGAAGCCCAGTGCTTTTTCTAAGTTTATAATTTGGCTTTGTTTTCAAGAGCTTGCAGTTCCTTATTGTCTGGGTATCGGTTTTGTATTTCTCTGCCCAGTTTCTGCTCTCTTCAACATAGATTTCTCTAGGGAAATTGGTTCCCTGTCTGTAGTGCACAGTTTAGTACCACCAAGTTTACATGTATATCTCATGTGAGGACACTGTTTGCTTCCTCTCTGCCGTGTCATAACTTTTTTCTTTGACAATATGACTAAACCCAACTCTTCTTTATATTAGTACCTCTTGAATGTCTGTCTCATCCTTCTTTTGTATGCATCCATCAGTTTTGCCCTGCCTGTATTATCCTTAAAATCTAGTTGTTCTCCAATGTTTCTCTCTCCTAGAATTTTCTGTAGGCTACTGCCAACCTAATCTTCCTCAGTCATCCCTACAAAGGTTTTGTGCGATTATCCATTTGTATTCAGCACTTAGAGCAGCATTTGAGGCTTATGATTAGGGTCATCCTTGAGTATCCAGCACTTCTCACTGTTGCAAACCCTCAGTTCCAGTGGTTTCTGTTTTCCTACTTCTGACTTCGCAGCCTTTTCACTCCATACTTAATTTCCCCCCCTTTGGGAATATGAAGAGAGATGTTCTCAGTCCTGACTGCCTGTGCTCTATTCCCCTGAACTGTATAGCACTTCAGTTTCTGTTGCCTATTTCTGCCATCCTGCACTGTTACGTAGCTGTACTCTTGAACATGACATGGTTAAGTTACCCAGAGGGCCAGGGTTATGCCTTTTTGCACTAGGAACCTAGCACTGTGTTTATATTCTGTTCCACTTAGGTAAATAGTTGTTGATTAAATAAATTCCACTTGACTGAGCATTCATGTAATACACTGTTATATGTAAGTATAATTTATGCAGTATTAGTTGATAACACAGCGTATATTCAGGACAAGTCATACGATGTGGTGAAAGAAGCAGGTGGTTATTAGGTTTGGTTATTATCAACTTCACGTCTAGTTATGCAGAAAATGGGGTGATACCTGTTTTTTCTAATTCATGAGATTGTGAAGTTCAGATGAGAAAGTCGTATTGGGGTTTGAGGTTGCTGTTTGGTATTGGTAGTAGTAGGTAGGTCTGATGTTCATCCAGCAATCCCCATTGGCCATGTGTGTTTTGATTGGTCAGACATCCTTTCTGATTGGTTGGTCCCATTGTAGCACCAGTTGTTAAATATTTTTGGCATCACCCCGCCCCTACACACACATGCATATACAGGAGCATCAGTATTCAAAGAGGGAAATTATTAATGTAGGCTGAAGTGATTGGAGATGCTTCCTGGACACTTTAGGACTTAAACTGACTCTGCAAGGTGTCTAAAATCCTGATGGGTAAAGAGGGGGATTCAATGAGTGTTAAGCTGTCTTTGCAAACTGTGCACCCCAACTGTCCCTGAGTCTACCCTTCAGCACAGAAACCAAAGCATTTATTGATTGGTTGCCAAGTTACTTTTTAAGTTCCTTATTCTATACTGTGATTTGGATGTATTCACCATTATTATTTTCTTTGCAATTCTAAAGCCTCCATAATATGTGATTGGAAACAAATAAGAAAGGCATTCTAAGTGGGATAAGGGAGGGAGAATAGTATAGGGTACCCATCGGGACTGGTTATTCCGAGGTGAAAGTCATGAGTCACTTCAGTTTACAAATGGAAAAACAGGGCTGAGAAGGGTAAGGTGACTATCTCAGGGTCAGGCAGGACCGAGACAGGAACTTTGATTTTCTGATTCCAAATCTTGTGCCCTCTAGGGCTCTTTAAAATAGGAAGGACTCAAAGGGGAGGAGGGATAGGCTTAGTGGAGTTGTTGGCTATGAAAACAGCACCAGGCGTTAGACCAGTGGAGTCAGACTGGATCTTGGTTCAGCAACCTCTGTACTTTGACATAGATACCAGCCTGCAGTGTCCGAGATGTTGTGGATGAGACGAGATGAATTCACAGGACTACTGAGTCCCGTGGAGGAAAAGGGTTGGCACGGCTACTCTCTCAAGGGGAGAGCACCGACCCTTGCGTTGACAAGCTTTTATTGGCTTTCTAATAGCATACATCAAAGAAAGTTTTCATTCATTATACTTAGGTTTGCTTTAGGTAATTACTTTTTATGGATAGCAATGGAAGGGATATTACAGATTACTTTTTACAGATTAACAAGGAAAAAAATGTTGCAACTGCAAGGGAACGATAAGAGTAACAGGTCTGGTTACACTTCAATCCTTGGGAGAATTAGCACAGACTTCAGGAAGTTACTTTAAAGATATGCAGTAAGCATTGGCTACCTGAACTCAGGGTGAGAGAGTTTTAGCAAGAGCAAGTCACAGAGCAGCCTATGTATAATGTAGTCCTGATTTCCCACGGGAGAACTTCTTCACAGGCATGGTGCTGCGTGCCGTCTCACTCCCCACTGGTTTTCCACATGGTGTTGAGCTACCTTTGCACGCCTCGTGAAGCAGTTCCCTACAGTACTCGAGTTCTGGCTAAGAAAGAATTCAGGGCCAAGATTCAAACCATAAGAAAAAGTTTATTTAGAAAGTCACTGAGGCAGAAGTAGTGAGCTATAAGGAATGGGCTCAGGAAACCAATTACATAGGTGAGAGAAGGGTGAAGGTAATGCACCTGGGAGAGGAAAAGGGAGGGGGAGACAGAGAGGGAGAGCTCTCTGGGTTCTCTGTCCTAAGGGCTTTTAAGGGTAGAGATTTCAGGGGAGGTCCTAAGAGGGGGTCTCGATAGAATATTCACCTGCTTTCCAGGTGTGTCCTTTCAGGGCCCTGGTCTCCACTGATTGGTGAACACCAGGGTGTTAGCTATAGCATCGCTTTGGGTTTTGCTGCTTTTCTGGGCCTGGAGCTGGAACATAACCAAGGCCCAGATGGATTTGATGCAGGTCAGAACCTCATTGTCCTGGGGACTTAATGCTTAAGGACTATTCTCCAGCCCATTGTTCATTCCCCCTTTAAGGAGGAATGAACCCCTTGGCTAGCAACAGGCAAAAGGAGGAAAAGTCAGGGAGGGCCTGCACTGCATGACCTGTGATATGAAAGACCAGGGGTCTAAACAGAATGAC